ATATATATATATATATATATATATATATATATATATATATATATATATATATATATATATATATATATATATATATAATCAACACCTCAACCCGCCAGGATTCGAACCCACGGCCCACGAACCCAGTCACAGTCATGGGCTCGTGGGCCGTGGGTTCGAATCCTGGCGGGTTGAGGTGTTGATTGTATGTAGAAGTCCGCGTGCTTTATTGGGCGAATGAAATAAAGACGAAAGCTAAGGTGCTCCGTTGTTTCCCTTTTCCCGTGTAATTTTATCAGGATTTATCTTATCCACGATTTCATTGTGGATCCATATAAGATATATATATATACATATATATATATATATATATATATATATATATATATATATATATATATATATATATATATATATATATATATACCTGTATATATATTCTCGTATCCAAATCATCAAATTCTCAACTAACTCAAATATCACGAAAATAAAAAAAAATTCGAAATATCCTAGAACCACAAATATCACAAATATATTCAACAGTTCGCGTGAGAAACCTGATTTTAAAAAAAATTAGTGTGGTGACAGTGAGGCCACACACGGGAGTACAAACACGGAAGTCCCCCTCAAGTGGTCCTTAAGAAATCACAGGTGATGGCTGAGGACGGGGGGTCAGAGAAAAGAGCCTTGGTGACATGACTGGTCGTTTATCTTCCCAAGTCTTCCAGAATTTAGGAAAGCGACGGTGAGAGGAGCTTGTTTTAACCTGTCGACCATGGGAGGTGTGAGAGGGAGAGGAGAGGAGAAGGGGGAAAAGAAATGGGAGGGGGTGTTTATTAGGTGGAGATAAATGGGGAGTATCTTAAGGGGGGAAAATGGGGTGTGCTTCTTAAGTGGGGGTAAATGGGGAGTATCTTAAGTGGCGGTAAATGGGGAGGATCTTAAGAGGAGGAAGAAAATGGGGTGAAGACAAGGTAAGGGGAGAAAACACCTGACGTAACTTACAACAACAAAATAATGTCTCTCCCACGACACAGTCACCTTATGAGTACCTTTTGCTGTACCTAACCTAACCTAACCTAACCTAAAGTACATCACTATTTCCGGGGGTTTTTCACTAGATAATATTATAATACGTCACAATTGAAGGATTTTGTTTTTTTGAACACACAGATAGACTTTGAGAATGACATGAGTTATTCAACATTCTGATACTGTATAAATCATCAATATGTCATAGGTAGGTCAGCACATTGGCATAACCTTAACACTTACAGAAGAATGTCATGAGAGGTGGTTCACTATACTGGTACTAATTGTCACGTATAGATCGACTTGCAAAATGAGATGGATTGTTTCAGTTTATAATCGATCATTTTGTTCTGGTCCAACGGGTTGTTCAGTTATTTGGTATAACCTTAGTGATGGTGCTACGGTGTGACGAGAGCTCGGAAGTGTACCAAGTGCCTGGAAAAGTGAAAGTGTATGTGCAAGGATACACGGTTTTTTTTTTTTTTTCTAAGATTCGCTGATAACCTTAAAAGTAAAGTTATATAGTTTTAGGGCTGGCTGACAATCCTTAAAGGCAACGTTCAATACACTCCTTAGGGTTGGCTGACACCCTTAAAGGCAACGTTCATACACTCCAGGGTTGGCTACACCCTTAAAGGTAACGTTCAATACACTAAAGGCAACGTTAATTCTTAGGGTTGGCTGACACCCTTAAAGGCAACATTACACTCCTTAGGGCTGGCTGACACCCTTAAAGGCAACATTACACTCCTTAGGGCTGGCTGACACCCTTAAAGGCAACGTTCAATACATTCTTTAGAGATGACAACATCCATAAGGGATAGAAAACATAATTTAAGACACAAACACATTCTGGGCACAACAATAATACAGGTCTCTTGGCCCCAAAACACAACTGCTGACCTCAAAACACACATCTGCTGGTCCCAAAAACACACATCTGCTGGTCCCAAAAACACACATCTGCTGGTCCCAAAAACACACATCTGCTGGTCCCAAAAACACACATCTGCTGGTCCCAAAAACACACATCTGCTGGTCCCAAAAACACACATCTGCTGGTCCCAAAACACATATCTGCTGGTCCCAAACACACATCTGCTGGTCCCAAAACAGACATCTGCTGGTCCTCAAAACACATATCTGCTGGTCCCAAAAACAGACATCTGCTGGTCCCAAAACACACATATCTGCTGGTCCCAAAACAGACATCTGCTGGTCCCAAAAACAGACATCTGCTGGTCCCAAAACACACATCTGCTGGTCCCAAAACACACATCTGCTGGTCCCAAAAACAGACATCTGCTGGTCCCAAAACACACATCTGCTGGTCCCAAAAACACACATCTGCTGGTCCCAAAAACAGACATCTGCTGGTCCCAAAAACAGACATCTGCTGGTCCCAAAAACACACATCTGCTGGTCCCAAAACACACATCTGCTGGTCCCAAAAACACATATCTGCTGGTCCCAAAACACACATCTGCTGGTCCCCCCAAACAAGAGATGTACAGGTATTGGGTACTCACCTGTTCATCCCGGCACCAGGTCCTCCTTAGTACCTCAGTCGCACAACACAAAGTCAATCTGTGAGGGAAAAGAAAGGTAAATTATTATATTTTACCGTCAAAAGATTATTCCATTACTATATTACCTCATTGTGAAAAGGAAAAAATTGATTTGGAAACTAGTTAAAAGAGTCACAAAAATGGAATATCAGTTATGAAAAAAAATAAAAATTAGTAATGAAAAAATTTAAATCCTGTAGAAAAAACAAAAAAAGGCGAAAAACAGTTATGAAAAAATTAGTGAAATCCAGTTATATTAGACCACAATAACCTATTAAAACATAACCAAATTTAGCTAAAACCATCTAAAGATTATCAAAGTATAAGTTTACGTTGGGAAATGTGAAACTGGGTCCCACAAGCTTGACGGGTCGTTAGAGGTAGTGCGGATACAGCACACTGAAGACTAAGTCTTTGGTACACAAGTAGGCACTCGACCACCTTAACTTCCCCCATCTCTAAAGTTTTGTATCTATTTACAGATGGATAGACCGAAGCATTTCAGGCACGAACCAACTACCTTTAGGACAGGATGGAAAGCACTGTATCCATTCGGCCACGGCACCCCAAAACACAGTATATTAGGTTAGGTTTAGTAATTTGGTTAGGCTAGGTTAAGTTAGGTTAGTTCTTGTGGTCTGCTTTTCCTTTGCTCCATTAACAGAGGATCTAGAAACATTAAACATCTATACATTTTTGTGAACACCTTTTAAAATATATAAAGAAATATATTGGAAAAACCAGACTAAACATTTACCTCGCATTTGCATTCGGGATAAGACCAGGTATCTATTTACAACAGTCTGGGTGTAATTTCTCCTCCATTTTAGGCTAACATCTGTGATCCGTAGATAAGAGAACCAGTTGTTCTATTATCCAACAATCAGATATTAAAAACTGTTTGAATATCAGATAGACCCCAGTCCTAGTAAGCCACAGCAGATTCTATACAAATCATTAGTAAGGGGTCCATTAGACCTGGACCCCACACCCAGTGGTAGGGTTAGGCTAGGAAAGGGCGGCGGAGCTCATGAAGATTAGGAACCCCTTGCTTATTTCACCTGATGGATTAAACACCCTAACGCGAACCTGACCAAACAACCCCTCCTCCCCTATTTAACGTTAGGGTGTTTAATCATAAAGCGTAATAAGCAAAGCAGGGGTCCCTAATCTTAATAAGATCCAGGGGGACCTATTAGGGAGGAAGCCAGTTCGACAAGTCACTCAAAATATTAAGGTGTGAATCCCTGAGAACACAAACCAAGAGTATTAAAGAGGTGTCGCTGAATATTAATAACAATGAGGTGTCTCCACAGGGCCAGGGGTGTTGAAAACCGGGGGTCAGCTGGCTGGGCTATGAATAGCTTGGGCTGTTTGAGGAAGCAAGATGAAGCAAACATACTCTGGTGCCGCCCCTCACCCACACACGTAACTCATCCCTGTGTGATCAGCTGGTCCCCCTGTCTCCCGGTGCCA